AAAAAAAAAAAAACATAAATATTATTTGATCATTTTTTATAATTGGGCTGTACCCGGCCCATTTGTGGCCCAGACCTGGACATGCTAAGAAGGAGGCTTTTAAGGATAATTGGTCCAGCTTCCAGAGGAGAGTTGTTGTTATGCCCGGGGGAAAATTATAAAGAATAGCAAAATGCTACGGTTTTGTTAAGGAACTATTTCGCGGGGTTTATTACCATTAGATCAATTATATTAGACGACTACATGATGATCAAATGGTTACAAACCTCAACGAAATAGTTTCGTAACGGGACCGTAGCATTTCCCTAAAGAATAATGCAATTTAGTGATAGAACTGGAAAAAAATATTCCATGTGATTCCAATATCATAATATCCATCCAAGTAATTTTATGAGGGGGAGAGTAGTTGGGGCAGAAAAACGATGGCCCTATTACTCGAACACTTATCCCAATAACACAGATTAGATACAATGATGAGAGCATAGCATATAGATAGATTTATAAGGTACATCGGTGGATTAATTAATCATCTCCTTGGGCATGGGAGACCTCCTTATCCCGCAACTCTTTCATAGTCCTCCTCCAATTAAAGAAACCGCCAAACAAGGCCTCCATGTCCTCCAAGTTCCTCCCCCTCGTCTCCGGCAACAACGTGAAGAAGAAGATCCAAGTGACGGTCGCAACTCCGCTAAACAAAAAAAACGTCCCCCCAATGGTGATCGCTTTGTAGAGCGATATGAACGTCATCAGAATAACACCGCTCGTGGCTCGGTTGATGGCGACACCCAACCCGCAACCCTGAGCCCTCAGGTGCAGAGGGAAAATCTCCGAGCTGTAGACCCATGCGATCGGGCCCATCCCCATGGAAAAGAATGCCACGGACGTGTACGTCATTAGAACACATATCACGACAACCCATCCCAAGTTGTCGGACCCTTCAGAACGGTCGATTACTGTTAGGCCAGTGGCGAGCGTGAGCATGGATAAAACCAGGCCTCCGCAACTGGTGAGCAGAAGGACTCGGCGTCCGATTCTGTCGACCATGAATGTGGTGATGAGGATGAAGATGGTCTTGCATACCCCGACAGCTATGGTGGCGAGGAGCTTCTTCTCGTCGCTAGTGATTCCCGCCTTCTCGTAGATCCTCGGGCTGTACATCACGACCGCGTCTATCCCACTCGCCTGTTGGAAGAATTGGAGGCCGAGGGCGCATATGGTGATGTGGAGGACGGGTCGGGTGGGGCTGATGAAAAGTTGTTTCCACACGTTTTGGCCCGTGTGGCCGACGCGTTTGGGGACGGGTACGGTGTCGCCGTTGAGGTGGTCGGGTAGGCCTGCGGCCTGCTTGATGTCGGCGAGTCTCATTTGGGCTTCTTGGGGAGAGTCGGATGTGCGGTCGAGGACTCGCTTGGCGT